ATAAATAGTTGTGGAGTGAGTGAGTAGGTATTTTTCAGACACTGGAGGGAGTTGTGAAGTGCAATGTGCTCTGGACTGCATCTATTACTTATTCTATCAAAAGAGGTCAATAACTTTTCTAAAAGACTTTTAAGAAGTCAGATCAAATTACATTGGTAGAAATCAGTGCCTCTCAAAGAGTAAGACTAAAACACAAAGAGAATGAGTTAGTAAGTAAACCACAGGACTCTGAAGAAACTTGTGTTCTCTGTCGTGCATTTGCTATATGACAAAAAGCTAATTTATTTCTTCATTTATTTGCTTAGTGTTATCCATGTATTGCTGTATTTAGAGTGTATTCGTTTGCAAAATGACACAAATGGCATTTCCTAAATATTGCATTTATGAAATTTATCTTACATGTATAAAAAACATCTTTGCAAAGCTGACTCCTAAATGACAACTCATTTGCCTCACAACAGTAATAACAGTTCTCTATATTCACAGTTCTTCAAGGATGGATCACTTCACTTTCTTGAGATAGATCTCTCTGTCTTTTTCATTTAGTTTTCACTGCTCTGTGACTGGAATTTTGGCTCATTTTCCTGCTTGTGTGAGGGTGTCAATGCATCAACATTAATGGGAAAGGCTAAGTATGCTTTTTTAGGTTGGTACTTTTTTCTTGAATAAATGACACATTTTTGTCAAGGTTTCTGCTCTGTTTCTTTCTTCTCTCTCCATGTCTTTTTCCTTCTTTCATCCTACCAGCCTTCCTCATGTTGTCCCATGCTGGCTATCTAATGAACCTCTATTAGTTCTGAGAGCAAAGCTCAGCAATCACAGATGCAGCCAACATAACTTCAGATGTTATTTAAAAAAAAATCTTCTACATAGTTTTGCTGCAAAGGTTTATTTCCGTATTTTAGAATAAATTAATTGGGAGTGTTTCACTATCTTCTTTCTGAGAGTCATAAAATCCTCAGGGAAATAAGATGACCTTCTTTACTCCAACTCTGACAAAAATGGCCTAAGAAAACTGATTCAGAAAGCCCTTCAGCTCTTGATTTATTCCTGTTGGCCTAGCTAACTTTCCTGTCTCTCCACAGTCCCAAATTTGAGTTATTAGTTCACTGGACATACAGACAAATACAAATCATGACCAGAAATTTAGAAAGAAACATCCACCTCAGCCTCAAAGGTTTTCCAGGCAGATTATTCAGCAATTTGATGTGAATATCTTATCTCATATTATCTTCATTTTCCAGCCTAATCATGCATTTAATTATAAACTGTTTTGTCAGTTTTTGAAGCAAGGAATTGAGAAATTATCAGAAGAGATGAATTTTTTCCAACTGCACTTGGAGAAAACTGATGAAAGAATCTCATGACGATGTTACACTCATACCTCTGGCTTGTCTCCTGACCTTCTCCTGCTTTTGGCTTTTGTATCTTTTCCACTCTCCTTTCTTCTGAGGCATGTGACCCTCTGCCCAGCCCCAAGCAGCCCAGTCATGGAGCTGGGGCTCATACTCTTTGGAACATCAATAAGTTGTTTGCTTATACCAGCATTGGGTTTTTTTTTTGCTTTCTGGAATATTTCTCCCAGCCCCCTTGGTTTCAGCATTCTCCCTTCCCAGGTGACTGTGAAAGGAGCAGAGTGGGTGCAATTCGGCAGCCCCTCTGCCGTGACTGACACTGTTGTTTTAACAGCACACAAAGGCAAGCAGCGACAGGAAAAGTCCAGAGGATTGAATAGTAGCAAAACACACTTTCTTTTCCTCCCCCTTATCCTGCTCACATCTGCTGTGCTGGATTTTTGCTGGTTTGCTTGCCTGTTTATTTCTGCTGGGAAATGGAGGTGGGTACAGGGCTGTATGACCAGGACCCTGTGGCCACCAGCAAGGGCTTCACAGTTGTTGTGTTTCACAAGATCTCTTTGAGATCACCTTGGCTACAGAACCAGCACAGGCTGTTTGCTTTCCCTCTCCCTGTTCGCTTTCATTTGCTGGAACCGGCTTTTTTCCAATTCTTTCCTTTTCGGGGATGCCAGTTAATGCCAGTTACCAATAACACCAATGTCTCAGCTTTTCGGCCACAACTGTGAGAACAGATTCTTGCACCTGCTGAGCTGTAGCTTTTTGCTATTGGCTGGCTACCAATGACACTGCAAAACATCCTTCATACCAATGTCATGCCAAGCAGCAGATCTCAGTGTAAAATATTTCACATTTTCACTTACTGCTGTGGTTTAACCCCAGCCTGTAACTAAGTGCCACACAGCCACTCGCCTTCTCCCTCTCAGTGGGATGAAGGAGAGAATCAGAAGAGTAAAAGCGAGAAAACTTGTAGGTTGAGATAAAGACAATTTAATAGGTAAAGCAAAAGCCATGCACTAAAGCAAAGCAGAACAAGGAATTAATTCACTACTTCCTATCAGCAGGCAGGTGTTCACCTGTCTTCAGGAAAGCAGGATTCCATCACATGTAAGGGTTTCCTGGGAACACTAACGCCATCACTCTGAACATTCCTCCCTTACTTTTTCTTCCCCCAGCTTTATATCCTTCATATGGTATGGAGCATCCCTTTGGTCAGTTGGGTTCAGCTGTCCCAGCTGTGTCCCCTCCCAGCTTCTTGTGCACCCCCAGCCTATGCACTGGTAGAGTGGTGCAAGGAGCAGAAAAGGCCTTGACTAGGTAAGCACTGCTCAGCAATAACTAGAACATCCCTGAATTATCAACATTGTTTTCAGCACAAATCCAAACTACAGCCCCATACTAGCTACTATGAAGAAAATTAACTCTATCCCATCCAAAACCAGCACAACTGGGAACATTTTTCCCTAAGACCTTTTCACGCTGATACAGTGTTTTTGGCATGAGGTGTGACTTAGGGAGCAGATCAAAGCCCAGGAAGCTCCCCGGGACTTCTGCAGACCTGCAGCTTAGCATGGCAAGGTTGCATTGCTCTCTGGGCAGCCCAAATGCAAGTCCCCAGAATAACAAGGTCCTTCTTGATTTTTTTGTCTGGCAGTTATGTTTTGTGCTGTGTACTGGCTGCTTTGCTGTATGTGAAAGCTAGGTACCTCCTGAGATTCCCACAGCAGGTAAAGTTAAGCTATTGCTGTGTTGCAGCTGGCATAGTTACCACAAAATAAAGTCAGAGCTAGGGAGGAAAAATTAGTTGTTTGGCCTTTATTTTCAGAGGAAGATTAGTCTGCTGGATTTCTGAGTAAAGAAGAAGGTAAACACTTAAACATCAATCTAAGTTCTGGCTTCTGCAGAGAATGTAGATAGGACTGAACTCCAGATTGAAACACAGTTAAAAGAAATCTCACTGTTCGTCTAAAACAACTTTTTTTTCTATTTAAAAAATAATGACATTCACTGGTGTATTCACTTAACATTCATCATTTATAATCTGTTCATCACAAGATTTGAGAACTTGATGAAAAGCAGCCTTGTCCTTCTTTTACTTACTCCTGGGGGTAATATGCTTCTTGTTCAGGGGAAGGGATGGTTCCTGATAAGCTTTTAAATTCTCCCAAAGTTACAGATTCCAGCAGCTATTCATTCCCTCATTTAGAGGGGAAGTTTTCGAACAGAAAGGGCTACAGTCTCATTACACCTCTCACTTCTGTCAAAATTAGTAATACCTTTTAGCTGATGAGTCTGATTCAGCTCACAGCTGACAAAGGACACTTAGGTGTGACAGGAGTGGAAATGACTGCCTAAGCAGTCATAAAGATTTGCAGAATCAGTCTTGAGTGGAACTGGGGGAATGAGGGGCTAAAGACAGGCTGCAGCAGTTCTTCACAAGTGAAGAAAGGAGCGATGAATACTTCCAGTCCCACCAATGCTGTGCTGCAAGCTTGTCTTGATGATTTCACACAGCAGTTCCTATTTCAAAAAAGCAGCCTTCCATCAGCTGGATGGCAAAAGCCAGTATTAAAATTAAGTAGTCAATTCTTGCATACCTGATTATCTGAAGATGGGACAGATTTTCTATGTGGAACTTTCTGTAATTCCACATGTACAAACTTAAGAGTTGAGAATACCTGAATGGTCCCTGTGCAAAGCGAGCATGGGATGATGAAAGTCCATCACCAGTTCAGCCTGTTCAGGACACCTCATTTCCCACCAGACATTCCCCCTTAAAAACATCCTCCCTTTCTGCCAGACCTTGTTGGGAGCTCCAGGAGCCTCTCATCAGTTCTCTGTGAAGCTGAACCTGCCATTCACTGAACACTGAACTGAACTCTTTTTCTCTTGTCTCTCCAGCAGGCAGCGAGGTCACTGCCTCAGGGTCAGCCCTGCCCAGGCAGCAGGGCTGCACATCTGGGAGGATGGCTTTGATCTCCGGGGAGCTGCAGTTCTCTGACTTCTCCAGGACTGTTACATATAAAGGCATCTGGGAGATGGGATCAAGTGTGTAGCAATGGTGTTAGCTGAGTTGCCAGAGAGCGGGTGCTTGAGCAGAGCTGTGGGTTATATGCGGTGTGGGATGTTAAAGGAGGTTGGTTACACACCACATTATAATAGATTAATCTTGTCACAGCTGAGATCAATCTTTGAAAATACTTCTTCTTCTTTACCAGCCTAAACAGACTCTCATTTTTTCCGAAAGTATCAGAATAATTCCTTTAAAAACTGACATTACTTTTTTTGCACATACCCATGAGGAAACACCACCTCTCTGGATGTGGCAAGATATTGTTAACAGCCTTGATAGCATCCTGTACTGCCTGACAGGTAGATATTTTGCATGGAAAATATGTTACACATGAAAGCAGAACTAGGCTGAATCATTTAACTCCACGCCAAAGGCACTGCCAAAACCAAGCTCCCTGCTGGAACCAGTGTCCCCATGGCACCTTCGGTGCTCCAGCTTCTGAGGCTGACAGTGATGCAGCTGTGAGACAGGGCAGTTACAGTGTCTTTTGTCAATTTTTCTTGCTAAGGAAACACTGATAAAGAGGGTATCATGCCTACTCGAATTAAGGAAAAATATTTAGGAATTTTCCTTCCTGGAAATATTGCAAAAGCTACCAAATTTCCACCTCTGCCCTCCTTTCCACACTATCTGCAGGCATTAGTGCATTAAAGCAAAACCAACCAAGACAAAACAGCAAGTGATGAAAGAGAAAAAGAGCACAAAAAAGAAGCCTGCAACACTGCCAAATTATACAACAGCAGTTCCCACTGGGGATAGCTTAGACAGCTTTTCTCACTGAGGCCAGTGGGTCTGCTGACAGCACTCAGAGGCTCCTGCACCAGGACCAGGACCAGGACCAGGACCAGGACCAGGACCAGCTTGTCTGCACCTGCTGTAGCTTTCTCTGCTGCTGCAGTGCAGTTTCTGGCCACTGCTTCGATGGAAGCTAGTAGAGATGCTGTGACTCCTAGCAGCTCTCAAAATCAAGCTTTTGACTCAATATAACTGAGACAATCTCAGTTTTCTCACAGATAATTGACATGGGAGAGAGGGTGGCTTGCCTTTCATCTGGTTGTAAAATAGCACGTGCATCTATGCCATGAAAAATCCTGGCTCCTACCATCGCAGACTGCAAAGGGCTGCCATGGTTTTTTTACCCTCTCTGCTGTTTCTCACCACAACTTGCTCACAATTTACAAGAATAAAGCGATGCTGCATGCGCATGCTCGGTGTCCTAACTTAAGCTGTAACTGCTAACACCTCTCCTTCAGTGTGCCTTCTGTGTTAAAAACCTGAACACCAGAGAGAGGAGGAAAAGGGAGAGATAAAGAGAGAGTGAGACCCTTTAAGCTCATGGGTAAGGAATGTGCATCAGGCTGCGTGTGGACGTCTGATGTCTCCAACTATTTGTTAAAAGGCAAAAGCAATACTTCCGACAGACGGCCCTCCCCTCGCCTGCAATAGGCTCCCCAGAATAGCAACAGCCTGTGTCACTGCAAAGGGCAAAGCCTTCTGAAATAGCAACAAAGTTCTTCACAAACCACTCTGTCGTTTGCATTTGGTTTCAGCCAGCTTCAGCAACTTGTTGCCATGAGAAAAATAACCTGCGCTTTCCTCAGCGGCCGGGCAAGGACCGCTGCCCCGTGAAGTGCTCCTGTCCCAAGGTGCAAAGAGGGTGGCAATGGTACCTGGGCAGAGCGCGGAGGACCTCGGCCAGCAGAGCCCGACGATGAGAGCAGGGGAGGACGAGAGCAGCCAGGACAGCCGCCGCAGCAGCAGCCGCCACCTCCGCAAGCTCCCGGCTGCAGCAGGTAAAGCGGCAGGAGCTGAATGCCAAATGTTGGCCAGCAGCAGCGTGCCGTTGTTGTGAATGCTCGGGGCTGGGGGAAACAGCCCCTCGCCCCAAAGCCAAGGGATTCTCAGGGCACGCTGCCTCAATTTCTAGAAGTATGAGAGTGGAAAGTATGAGTAGGGAAGGGGAATGCCAGCTTTAATTTTGAATGAAGGTCTATGTGATACTTTTCCCAAAAGGCCTTGGTCCTGCTGCTCATGCATGTGTTGCCTGTTGTGTAAATCCCTTTCCTTTTTGAAGATCAGTCACCTGAAAAATCAAAGAACCCACTGCCACCTAAGATAATAACGGTGCTCTGGTCTGTGCAAGCTTGGGAGCAGTTCAGCCCTTTTCACTGAGGCAAGCGTTGTACCTGCTTGAGCAGTGTGAGGGTCGGGGACTTTCTCCTCTTTTTTCTTCCCTAGCATTTCAGGAGGAAACAGGGTTTATGTGCTGATGCTCTGAAAAATCAACTGTAGAATTTCTTCTGCAAAAGATTTTTGAGTGCTGAAGCTGAATTTCATAGCTCTTCAGCTTTGCTGTCTCACCCAGCCAGTTTTTTTCCTAAGTTTCAGCATGGTTTTGCATTCTTGAGACTTTTCCACTGATGATAAGATAAAGGTGAAAATGACCCACAATCATTGTATTTCTCACACACAGAACAGCTGTACCCAAACATGCAAGCACAGTTGTAAGCCAGAAATGACTATATCCCAAGCAGGCTTTGTTCACTTAAAAAATGAATGAAGTGACTAACCCACACATGTTCAGATACCACAGGCACAAATGCTTTGTTGGAGCGTAACAGTGATCAGTCCAGCAACATCAACTGATACCTGGAAACAGAGGTTAATCAAGAACAGAAAGCCAGACTGTGTGCAGACATATTTACCATCACCTTAGGGTATGAGAGTAGCAATGCAGATGGTTATAGGATAGCGTTATCAAAGGGAAGCACAGCAGTTACAATAAACAGACAGCAAAGTTACTGCAGCACAAGGGCTACGGTTAGAAGAGTATGTGCAAATTACACACTTGGCCTTACCCTCAGAAACTAAAGCAGTAACCTGAGGAATTTGTAATTACCTAGCTAGGAATTAAAAGAACTGGTTGATTCTTACTGGAAAAAAACCCAAAACAAACCCCAAATCCTATTTAATGTAATGAAGAGCCAGGCTACCTGTTGACATAAGGCAAATCCATGGCAGAGCACTAAGAGAGATGGCCAGGGTGGGTCTGTCCAGCATCTGCATTCAGTCTTTCCATTTTTGTTCATGAAATTTGAATATTACTCAAGCAATACATTTATAGGGCTTATGCTGTACAAAATATACAATGTTTTCCACCATTGCAGGAGTTTAGGTGTGTGAAAACATGAGATACATCAGCTTCCTTCTGCCTTCTTTTTTAGTTACAAAGTATTTGTTTTGGTTTTGCCTTTCACACTTGGGTGAGAGGAATCACATTTGTCAAATGGTCATCATCCCACATGGTCCTGACACTATTTTTGGGTAAATTTAATATTTTCTGAGATCTTCCAGCTCTGCTTGCAACATAACTTTATCTCAAAGCCACCATTTGTTTCATGCCATAGGATCTTGTTAGGTAACCATTTTAGATCCCATGCCATACTTCTAGATGGACAGTTAGATCAGATGTTTCCTAAATAGGAGAAATGCACCTACTCAGCAGCTACTGGATCTGAAGAAACCTCAGGCATTAGGACAGATTAACAGAGTAACATACATCTCTTTATGGCCGACAAGTGGATGAGGCAGAGAAGATGACTGTGCAAAGATGCAGCAAAGATCTCAATGGGATGAAAATGGGATAGTGACCATTTTTATGAGAAGCAAAGCCACGATTATGCAGCAATTCCCAACACATGACACTGAATACTTATCCTACAAAACCATGTGATCCACATGCTATACACTTTAGGAAAATACTTTCCTTTTCTCCCAAACTTAAGACATTCTCATCTCAGATTAAATCAAAGTCAGCAGAAGAAATCACCATATTGGAAGAGACTGTCAAGTCCCCTCCCATCAAAATAGATGTATTTTCACAACTCACATAAGAAAGTAATCTCCACCCTCACTCCATCCCACTATTTTTCTGTGCGCACACTGCATGTTCTCTTAGGAGGAAGGAAAGAAAAACTGTCACAGAAATCTCAATGTCTGGACTAATGTGGAACATGGTACTGCCAAGGTGAGCTGGAAAGGGTTTCCATGCACCTCTCCCAGAGCTCTTGCACATGAAGCAGGGGAAGAGTGATGTTTCCCAGCTCAAACTGCTTGCATACCTTCCCTGGCACAGATAATTTATCTGTAATGCAAATAAAATACATGCACAGACCAAATATTTTGCCTTTGGAAGGACTGTATTTTCCCAAATATGTGCTTAAAAATAAGTAAAGGGACACACCCTTACTAACTTGGCCCCATGCAGTCTCATCAGTACTGCACTATGGTAGAATACAACTGCACTTGGTCTCCTTTTCAGGAACCAAGCATAAACATTTCCAGCTAATGTTCTTAAAGATAAGTTTGTTTGCCAAGTAGTGCTGCTTTTAAACTGAGTAACAGTTGTGAGAAACCATTTTGTTTACATGGGGAAACTAGAGAATAGACTTTCCAATCACTAGTCACATAACAGCCACACACTGGTTAGCCATGGTGTTTGTTGCAGGCAGAAGGAGAAATTTATCTGGAAGCCATCATTACAATATTTTATTCACCTGGGCTGCACACTGCCATGTATTTTGCAGAAATCTCATGAAAATAAGAGAAATATACATTTTAAGGAGCCCTTTTTTTAAAAAAAAGAAGGAATGCTAATGCATGCCAGCAACATCATTAAAAGTGACACTTAAAAGGATTGTGAGTACAACTACTGCAACATGCTTTATCTGGAAATGTTAAAGCAAAACACATGCTGCAGTCAGAGGGAATTTTGTCTGGAGGAAGACCATGAAGGAAAACCGAGCTGAGATTTCACGGTTTAACTCAGCAGGCAGTTCTGAGCAGGCAAGCCGTAGGTACACCAGCGACAACAAAACCTTATAGTGATATAAGGATGTTTCTCAGCAGAATAGTGCCTGTGAGTGACAAGAGACACTGAGTTGACTGCTGAGTTTGCTGCTACTAATGCAGAAAGATAACGTATCTCCCTCTGCATCACATCAGAACCTGCTTTTCATTCAGGGGTCTGCTTTAGTTACAGCCCCCCACTATTATCTGTATGACTGTGGGCATGTGTCACTGGACATGTGAACAAGAATACCAGCTGACCTAGTAAAAACAAAACAAAGAAACATTGAGATATTGTTCAAGTCGCTGTACCTGGAGATGCAAGAAATACACAGTCTTGAGTGCTTCCTTAGCAACTTCCCAGGTGTCCAAGATCCACACCAGCATGTACAGCCTCTCAGATTTAAAATAAATAATCACCTTCTTTGCTCTGATCTGAGGACCCTAGGCTGAGGAGAGCAAGAACAGTGCTGATAACAGACTTCTTCAAGATATTTGACTTGGCACTGTCATTTTAAATCAGAAACTGTAACATAACTGACAGTCACACATTTAGAGAATTAAAAGCCATGCAGGACACAGATCATAAAATATCAGTAGGAGACACTGCTCACACTGCTGTGTTTCTGCTGGAGAGCCTTAAGCTCAGTTTTTGCCCTTCTGTTACTTAACATTTTTTCTCAATTGCCTGGAAGAAGATAATAATGGATTATTTGAGGGTTATAAAGGTGACAGGTGATTAATAATGGGATATGTAACTGACTGAATGCAATTAGGATGGCTTGGCCTGCTGACTGTGTGTGAATGTCCTCTCTGGGGTTCCCCTCAGCTAACTTTAGACATCTGCATCTGAGGAAGCCACACAGATTCCTTTTATAGGCAATGGAGAGAAATAGGCATCTGACCTACTTCAGACATCTAGAAGTGCCTGTTTTTCACAAGTGGTTGTAGAAGAAATCTAGAGATGCTGTGGATCTCTCACAGTTAGGTAAGTTGAACCCATCCTAAGTGTTTTAATACAGCCCAATGCAAACTGATTTCCATTCCTATCTAGGATGCAAGAAGACAGGCCATATTTAAAATAAAGGCAGTGCCTTGGAAAGAACTCAGTCAGAAAAGAAGCTGGTTGTCCTGGAGTACAATCAGTGGAAGATGAGCTTCTGTATACTGCTGTGACAATCCTTAGACGAGCAGAGAGTCAAATGTCCAACAGGAGTGGGATAAATATGTCTAGTTCCTATCTGGCACTGTGCAATCACAGCAGCAGTGCTGGGTCCAGCTCACAATTTATTGAAGAAATTGATCATCTGGAAAGAGTTCAGAGAACAGGGCTTTGAATACTTAGGGGACAGGTAAACTTGTGAAGCCTCACAGGCTAAGTAGCTTATAAAGGAGAGGTGTGTGGGATGACTCAATGACAGCCTATAATTTTGTACTTAGTGAACACAGCTAAGCGTAGGCAAATGGAGAATGGGATCTGATGGCTGGACGCCAAAGTTGCAGATATTAAGTCTAGAAATGATTTACAAATAATTTACGGTGAAAACAATTAACCATTGGGACAATTTATGATTAAAGTAATTGGCTTTCAACCACTAACAATTTTTATATCAAAGCTGAATATTTAAAATTGCCTAGTTCAAATAATATGTCATTTAAATGTGTCTTGAAGGGTTATGTTGTACTGGTTATGAATGTTGGACTGGATAACCACAGTGGTCTCTCTTGGTTTCATAATTTATAAAGCAAAGAAAAATCTTAGGTTAAATCTGCAAAGCCCAATGACATAAAATACAGAGATATCCAAGAAAGCACAAATATCTGCACTGAGCAGTAGTTTGTGAAGAGCACTGTGACCAGATTAGCAGTGTAGATTCTGATACCCAAGCTCATTCATTCAGTACAACACTGTAGTTCCACTGAAGTGCTGGAAATACAGCAGGATCTTGCCCTAACTCATGCACTAACCTCTGTTTAAAATAAGTGCAATATTTTGGATACTGGAGACATAAAGGAAGAAAAAGCTTTATACATAATACAGACATGGACAACAATATAGAAAAAGATTGTTCCATCACCGGAGCATTTTGCAAATTTGTTTCTGGCATTTTCTTCAAGCTGTCCCACCTCCATCACAATAAATCTACCATCCACCCCTACCTTCTGAAAGACTCCTCACAATACTGCTATTTCCCCCATGCCCTTATGGCCCATCATAACAAAATGTTGTGTTTTTTCTCTGGTCTCTTGTCTATCTCTGGTTTGCCAGCCACCTGAACCCAGAGGCAGAGTGGGCTGAGGTGTACTCTATAGCTCGGGGCTGCTGCCACTTGGCTTCTGCTTGGCTCAAAGAGAGCCAGGTAGGAGAGCTAATTGGGTGATACTTATCTTAATAGACTTAATGGGCTTATACATCTCCCTTGAACCTGAAGGCACAACTTATTTTCACACAGCTATACTCTGCTACTCTCCCAAATAACCCAGTCTCCCATGGTGTAGCTGCAGGACATGATGGTGGGTGCTCCATGTTAGCCAGGGAATTGTTAGGAGAGCATGAGATGACACGTGGGACACCATGATGCCAGGAGGCCATGCCAGCAATTTAGTAGAATACATGGCCACATGCCAGCAGTTGGGCCTGGGCTCTGGAATTGTTTAATTTACTAGTGCAGATGTACTGCTAGGGCTGCCCTCCTCCTCTTTTCATGATTTGCTTTAGAAATGTAATATCCTCTGTCAAATGGGACTGATCCTCACCAATGTGCTCAAAAGCTACTGGCAAGGAACTTCAGGCAGTCAGTATGATCAAAGAGCTTTAATGCCTTACAAAAATAAGCTAAAAAACCCCAAAGTTTATCTATCTTTTTCAATTAGACCATATACCACTTACTTGTTCCAGGAGAATTAACTGAAATATGGACTATGCTGCAAAAGCTACCTCTTCTCAGACATGTCCTATCTCTCCAACAAACGGGGAAATCAGAAGTCAATTTACTCTTCTCCTAATTGTGTCACAGCCAACATCATGATCAGAGGAAAATCATGCTGGGAGAAAGAACAAGACCAACAATAACAAACTGATATATTCCTCAAGGTTTAGGGTGCAAAAGGCTTCACAGTTAGTAGAATATGATCAGTTAAATCTATCTTGTAACAATAAACAATGAGTTGCAGTTGTATAAAATGAGTTTGTTTTAGAGTGGATGTTCAAAGGCGTATAATCTCCATTTGGTTTATGTTTTCAACATCTGTTTCTCATTCCTTACATTGTGGCTGTCATAAACTATGTGAAATATTTGATCCTGATATTTCAAAGAATCTGAGATTAGTGATAAGTATATCCCAGAAAATTCATGAATTTGTACCTCAAAGATAGGTTTCCCAAGAATATCTCAGCTATCTGGATCATCTGGGTGCTCAGTGGATATGTTTCCATTGGCAAAGAAAAACCACTGGTACCAGCAGCCTTCATGGCGTCCTCAGGGGAAGCAAAGGAAAGTAAGTGGTGAGGGAAAATTTGTCTTATTCAAGTCAGAGTTGAAGGAATTTGGCTGGGAAATTACTGCTTTCCTTGCCCATGGTATACAGGTTGGATGGACAAGTCTTCCTCAGTTCAGTACAGGAAAAACACTGAGAATGTCTCAAGGCAAAAATTGCTTTCTTACCAAAAGGTTGTATGGTCAGTGTTGCCTTTAGCAATGATATTCTGAGGCAGAAGGTTTAATTATTTAGGGCTGATCAGTATCTCATTGACTTCTGGAACTTAAAAGCAATAAAATTAAAGAGGGTTTTATAGGAATTAAAATTATATATTTTTGTTTTCTTTTTAAAAATAGCCTTGTATGCACCTAACTGTTTTGCCTAAAAGTTTCAGAACGATTTTTTAGACTGGTATATCAAATAAAATTATTATTAGTTGTCAGAATGTTGCAGAACTCACACTTTCAAGTTTTTGTGTTTCTTATCTTATTTCAGGCTGTGGAGCATTTACTTTTCTATCTTCTGCTGTTGCTGCCATAAGTGGACTTCTGATGGGTTATGAGTTGGGCCTTATCTCTGGAGCTGTTCTTCAGATAAGCAACATATTAGCACTCTCTTGCAAAGAGCAGGAAATCGTTGTAAGTTCCTTGCTTTTTGGGGCCTTATTTGCATCCCTCACTGGTGGATTCCTGATAGACCGATTTGGAAGGAGACTTGCAATTATTATTGCATCTTCTTTACTTGTTTTGGGGAGTCTGATTTTACTGCCCTATGAATCATATGGGATACTTATTTTAGGACGGATTGCCATAGGTATTTCCATATCGTTATCATCAATTGCAACATGTGTGTATATTGCTGAGATTGCCCCACAGCACAGAAGAGGCCTCCTCGTATCATTAAATGAACTCATGATTGTGATAGGCATTCTTTTTGCCTATGTTTCAAATTATGCTTTTGCCAGCGTATCTCACGGGTGGAAGTACATGTTTGGACTTGTGATTCCATTAGGTGCCTTGCAGGCTATTGCCATGTATTTCCTTCCACCAAGTCCTCGGTTTCTTGTCATGAAAAATAATGACGAAGCTGCAAGAAAAGTACTGGAGAGGCTGCGGGAAACATCAGATGCTACTAAAGAACTTACTGTGATCAAGTCTTCCCTGAAAGATGAACATCAGCATAGTTTCTTAGACCTGTTTCGTTCAAAAAACAACATGAGGGCCCGAATGTTGGTAGGACTGACTCTAGTCTTTTTTGTACAAATAACTGGGCAACCCAACATTTTATTTTACGCATCAACTGTTCTGAAGTCCGTCGGGTTCCAGAGCAACGAAGCTGCCAGTTTGGCTTCTACTGGAGTTGGAGTGGTCAAAGTGGTCAGCACAGTCCCAGCCACATTTTTTGTGGATCAAGTTGGAAGTAAAACTTTTCTGTGCATTGGCTCTTCTATTATGGCAGTAGCATTGGTCACTATGGGCTTAGTGAACCGTAACATACACATGAATTTCACCAACGTCTGTAAAAGCCAGTCTCCAGAGGACTTCTTTCTCCAGAGATCAGGAAACCTCACTAGTGTTACCAATGGGAGTCTCAAGGACCAATTTGTTAGCATGGCTTTACCAGAAAGACTGTCATTAGACTTGCAGAGAAGCCCAGCTATTGCTAGGACAGGAACACTGAACAGGACTACCCTGGCAGGAGTCAAAAGCCCAATAGGGTCTCACATGCAAAGTGGGGAGGTTCCCATTGTCCTGAAATGGCTCTCGCTGGCCAGCCTGCTTCTTTACGTTGCTGCATTTTCCATAGGTCTTGGACCAAGTAAGTATTTAAATTTTCTAGCTCTTTGTAATGATTTATTTACAAGTGGATTAAGTACTGGGTTGACATGGCAGCAGGCAGTTCTCAAGCTGGGCAAAGCAATGTTTCCTGCTAATATGTGCTGGTACTGACACAGACCATCCTGGTCAGCCTGGGGTGTACATTTTAGGAATAGGTCTTTCCCATTGAGGTCAATCTCCTTTCAATTCAGTGAAACTAACTGTTCTCCTTCCGTGAAGTTAAGAATTGGTGTGAACTTTGAACAGCAAAAATAGCCCATGGCTATCTTTCTTCTTCCCACACTATTGTGTTCTTACACTGGGAATGTTAAGATGAGGCCTTTGCTGCTGCTAATTTATAATCCCAAGATAATGGTGAGCTCTAGACCTCTGTGTGGTATGGCTCCATCAAATCCATGAAATGCCAACATGCCTGAGACCAGCTGAGGATCTGGCCTTTTGACTATATAACAATCTTCAGATACAGGAAAGAAATTCAAAGCATCTTAGTTCATTAGCAAACTATAGTATCATCACTGCTACCTGTGCTGAACAGCACAAGTGGAAGAACACAGAGGCATGCTGCTGTACAGCTGAGGTGCTGCTGCAGCTGTTGTGGCACTTGCAGGGCTCCTCCTATCTCCAGAGGAGAACACCTGCCATTCCCAGGCACCGGCAGTTAAATCTCTACCTTTTGTTTTGTTTGGTTTGTTTCAATGGCACTTGCATGTTATTTTTCTTTGAAGGTGTTGATTTTTTAAGCCATAATGCAAAAACCACACACATCAAGTCCATTATTTATTAACAGACTTTATGTGCTTTTGTGCCTTGGCTCAAACTTGCCTTGCAAACACACTGTACTCCTGCTGTACTATTATGACAAAAAGCTTGCCACAATAATACAACCCAACAGTTGCACTAACAGCAACTCCCCTGCAGTATTTGTTTATTTTAAACATTACTCACTGGGAAAGCAGCATGAGATAAGCATTCATTGCCAAGGCAGCGAGCTTGACTGTGTTATTGCAGCATTATTCCCTCCCTTGCAGACCACTGTGGGGCTGGGTTCTGCTTTTGGTGACATAGGTTCATAGCCAGGGGTGCAGCCCTGAGAAGAAAATGTTATTTGAGCTCTTACGTGGGTGTTTCAAACGCACATTTAATGACCCTCAAGGCAGGGGCACACATTCAGGCTTAGCCTCCTGTTGAAAGCTGCTTTCCTGTTGACCTGGCTGTAAGTGGGTTCCTGGTTGTTTGAGTTGGCCTGATGTGACATTAACGATAACGACCTCTACTTCCTTGAGGGCTACAGAGATTGAGATGTGTTTGCCAGGCTAATCTGAGAAGTCTTGGAGGCCTGTGCTTGTTTTATGACCTCTTTCTTGACTAAGAGCGCAAATGCTCTCAAACAGCAAAATGAGAAAGAACAGATGTGGTCACAGCTCCTGCATGTTGAAATCATGGGTGATAAAGCCACAGTGAGGCAATTTAAACTGGGAGATGCATTTGCGTAGCAAGTGAAGGCCAGGTCCAGGAGAGATACAGGTATTTCAAAATGCAGGTAAGTAGTTTGAAGGCACTTCCCTGCCTTTACAAATACAGTGTTCAGTTAAAGTTTATAACGTATAGAAAATGCCAGGGTCAGAGAATCAAGCAATTGTTTGAATCTGCGAAGGATATATTGTGGTTAAACAGCCTGAGTTGGGAGGTGAGGTTATGATTTGTGTCTCACATGCAGCCTTCAACATCTGCTGCTTGGAGTCCAAATCCTTGACTGTATTTAAAAAAGCCTAACTTTTATTCTCAGTGTGTCTTTCTTAGTGTAAAGACGAAAAATGAGCCCCTCTGCTTGTATAAAGTCAACACTTTTAGCATGTTTATGTTACTCATTTCTAAATCCGGTCTGTGGTCTGGACCAGACTGTGACCATTGTCTGCTCTGCAATGAGAGGGAGGCATCAAGGCTGTGCTTGAGGGGCTGCTGCAGCCAGGCGATGCCCAGGGAGCCTGGGGGCAGAGCACTGTAACTCCTGCATCAGTGTATTTCCAATGCAAATCCTCATACTCTGCACCATATCTGCCCATCCTGCTGGCTACGGTGAAGTTGGTGCTGGTGATGTGTCTGTAACCTGCAGATCAAATCAGCATTTTTTGGACAAAGAGCAGAGAGGATCTGGCTCTTTTACCTCCACTTCATGAGGCCATTTTTGGAACAAATTTATCCACTTTATTTTGAGCCCATGCTGCATGATGTTCTGTGGGGAAAAAGGAGAGTCTATGTAGTGTCTTAGGAAAACAGCACACTCTTCACAGGGTAGATCACACAACCTGAGCTCTGTCATCTTTTTAAAATGACTTTGTCCTTTTTTTCCCTTCCTTTTTTGGGATTCTGGTCAAAGAGCTAGTTACAGTCCAGATTTGCACAGTAGACATTTATAAATTATGTATTTTTCCATGATTTCTCTTTTGTCTCCAAATTACATAAAGAAGATGGATTTTTTAATGGACTAAACATATGCTAAATATATTTATTGCCATTTATCAAAGCACCCAGGCGGCAGAATGATGAGCACTCAAAAAATAGACAGTGAGAGATAAAAGAATATTTTGCATTATAAAAGAATTCACAGACTAGCAAGTATCTACTTAGTCACTTTTTTTTTAATTCTAGGGTGCTCTGTATTTATATCATCAGCCCTTAGGCAAGATAAAAGGAGTATTTCTGCTGCTCTGTTTTGGATTAATTATGTTTGATGAACTGTGATTCAACTGCTTGTTCACACTCAATTTCACACAATTATGAGGATGTTTTGTAGGTGCAACAAATCAGTGTTGCATCACATTGCAGAACAACACATGCTATCTCTCCAGGGGTGTTTGCAGAGGCAGTTCAAGGCAGTTATTGGCTAAGGGGACTTACCTGACACCCGTCTTTGTCTTGAGTTACCTTCATCTGTGTATCAGAAAGGTCAAATGAGGATGAATCGTTCTCACCAGGGGAAGATGCCTGCAAAGCACATGAGCAACCTTTCTCTGGTTACTCACCCACATAAAGGGTGAGGAGTGAAAGAGAGGCTCTTCATTTTTCAGTGCATGTTTGCAAGGAGAGGCGTTTGAACCTGCTGTATGTGGAGGGGGGGGGACAGGAGAAATCTAAGCCTCGCAGAAATGCTGCTATGCTTTGCACAGGGAGCAGTGAGTGCAGGCTAATGAGATGAGTGCAGTGTGGAGATAGATCACCAATTTGTCACCCAAGCTAAAAGCTCAGTGTGTCAGATTGGGATATTATGCCCTCTCTTGCTATCTGCTAGTCTCAGCCATCAGGTGAGTATTTCTGATTGGAAAATTGGAAAAAATTGCATGCTCATCACTGTTCACAGCAGAATTTCCTTTTAACTCCTGAAGCGAGAACGTTACCCACACACTAGGGGATCAGCCGGTTGTGGGAGCACCTTGCCAGTGCCCAGGGCTGTGAAATCCAGACCTGTGGCATATGTGAAGCACCACTGAAGGCCATGTAGAAGGGGGAGGGCGGGCAATCTTTGCAGTCTATGTAGGACCACCGCACTAGAGCCAGAGCCAGCAGGGCACAGGGCCCATGAAATGAGTGGTGGTTCTGGGGACAGCAGTTCTCCCCAGGGTGTCTCCCTGATGGAGACTCACAGCCACCTAGGGCTGAAGCTCCTCATGCATTTGAGGACCCTAACACCTCCCTGCTCTCTGTGTGTGGGTGCAGAAGCACATACAACTGTCTTGCTGAAGTTAGCAGGCAGATTTAAGACTGTTGGGGCAGGAACAAGAGAGGGATGGACAAATTCCCACATATGTCCACACAGGTTAACAAATCAGTCAGTACAGTTGCTTTCTTCACCAAGAAACCGGGTCTCACAGCCCAGTCGCAGAAGGAAAAAAGCTTCCTGCTTGAGTTACCTGTTTTTAAAGACTTTTTTTCTTCCTACAGGTCCATTCAATTCTAACCTTGATGCTTGGGCCCCAGGTTTGAACACCCATATGATCCTAGAGCAAGGAAAGGGTGGGAGATGATCCAACCCAAGCCACCTTTGGGTTACTGGTTTCACAGTGATTAAATTCCTCCTGTGTGAGGGACCTGGGATTGTGGCTTCGTGTACCCCAGCCTGGGTCCACTCCCAAGAAGGGGAAGTGACCATGGTCTTGAGCAAGCCCTGCTACATCATCTCGCTGCTGTGGAAGCTCTCTGTGGGGTTGCCAGCCTGTGAGGAATAAAACTTTCACAGTCAGTGAAAGCAAGCCCCTAGTGAAAGCAAATCTTAGGAGCATACTTTTACTCATTAAATACTAGTTTAGCATAAGAGATGTCCATTTCTAGTTTAAGTGTGGGCAGATTTCCCATATTGAGTATATCAGAGTTAAATTTACATGATCTTGAATGGACGTTTTAAAACTGAGTTAATTTATACCTAAAATGGAACAGATGTTTCAACATGTTTGGAAATTTAACTGATGTAGGAGCCAGATTTCTCAGATAATCAACAAGGGGAAATATTCTCCTCACCTAAGGGAGACTTTCAGACCTCTGCTCTCTGACCTCTCCTCTGGTGCAACCCTCCTTTCCTCACCAGCTATTGATGGACTTTAGCATGATCAGGAAGTTAAATTAGACTGAGTGATAGCATTCCACATATAACATGCTTTAACTTTTGGTCAGCCCCGAAGAGGTCAGGCAGTTGGACTAGATGATCATTGTAGGTCCATTCCAGCTGAACTATTCTAGTCTAGTCTAGTCTAGTCTAGTCTAGTCTATTCTTATTCCCATGTAAAAACCTACTTGTTTTGTCTACATTTTTTTGTGAGTTGTTGAAGTCATTTAAATGCAGTTTTAAGCTGGGGACAATGGAGAAAATGGAAGAAGGATCAGGCAAGAAGGATCAAGGGTGATGGAATAAAGCTCAAAGGTTCACAAGAACAGTGAAATCCAAGGTGAGGAAGGAAACAAGTCCCTCTTTCAATCCATCACTGTTCT